GTTTGCAGGATCAGGCATGCATGCAGAAAATGTCTGATATTCCTGAGTAACAAGGCGGAATCTGTGGAAAATGAAGGAAGAACAGTCATTTTCTCTCCTGCAGTGCAAAACATATATTTTTAATTGGAAAAGTAAGTTCTGTAAGTCAGAGTGGGCAGGTTTTTCTTCTATTCTGACAGATTTGGTCTCTATATTGTAGCGCAGAGATGACTGATAACCCCCTTCATAAAATTAGAAACCACACCCCCAGACCATCTGGCATATTACTTAAAGAAAAACACTACCCAACATTGTATTCAAAAAAGAAAATCCAGGCCAGTTTGTCAGAGCCCAGTGCTGCATGTCCAAAAAGGCAACGTGAAAATTCTCTCTTTACATCAGAAAATAGGGGTCTTGTACTGATTTGCTGTGGTTGGGACCCATCGGCAGTGGCAGAATTGCCTTGGCATGAGGGAGAGCAGAACCTGACCCCGTTTGAAGGAGAGAGCATGCCCAGCCCCAGGAAGTAGGCAGCTCTAGTGTGCAGAGTACAGTTTTACTACGAGCAGACTAAACCACCGAAACGGGGGCATTTCCCATGTTCTGCCTGTGAAGTTCTCTTCGGCTCAGCAGGGTGGTTTTTCTCCTCGCGCTTCACCTCTCCCAGTCTGTCCTGTGGGAGGTAGAGTTCATTTCATCACCTATTATGTTTGCCTCCCGCTGGGAACAGATTTTTCCCCCAGTCATCTCCCTGCGTGGGGAAAGGCAGGGCTGAGTGTGCTTCTTTGCATGGTTTAAGGGCATCCACCGCAGGGTCCCCTTAGGCCATGTGAATTTAACGGCCTGTGATTAAGAACCAGCAGAGCAGCTTTTGTTAAGTGGAGAAATGTTCTAAATTAGCAGTAATACTTTCATGGAGAAGCCTTAGATTGCTGCAGAGCTCAATCTATTGGAAAATCTGCTGTTGACTTTGTGGCTTTTGGTGTGGTGCTCAGATGGAGGATGTTACAGTGCAGTGTGTTGGCTTTCCTTGCACCTCTTAGACATGATGAGAGGAGGGCATCTGCCATGTGTGTCCTGTGTTTTTCCTGAGACAGATGAGGGAATACTCCTCCTCCTTTACAGATGGTTGATCACATCTAGGTAAAAGAAAAAAAAAAACAACAAAACAGGATCTTGCAGGCTGTTACTTATATTTCCTTCAATAGATCAAAGTTGAAAACTTAATGACATCTATCTCTGCAGTTGGATGTCAGAAGGGTGTATTTTGAATCAGCCAAAAAGATCAAACAAACAGTCTGATGTTGCCTTGGGCTTTCTGGCTCTAGGACCGATTTGTAAGACAGACCATTTCTGTTTATTGTACCTTACATTGAATTCCTGAAAAAAAAAAGAGATAATGAGAATTTCCTAAACTGCTGCTGTTGGTACTAGAAGTCTTGGATCTGTACTTTCTGGATGCACATCAAAGTGACGTCTAGGAGGGCTTGTGTTGAGACTGCATGTATTGGGGGTTGTACCTCACATAAAGTAGTTTGGAAGGAAGATGGTAATGCAGAAGTATAAATTGATAAATATAAAATAGCAGTAATCTTAGGATGCTTTCCACATGCTTCTTCAGGGAGAAAGAGTAATCACGTATTGGCAGCGTCACAGAAACTCTGTGATTTATACTCCATGACCCAGTGGAAAATTGCCAATCTGACAAAAAAGAACAATTTCAGCTACACTAATGGATTGACCAAGGCTAATTGCAAGAGTTTTTATGCCCATCATTGATATGTTGTCAGTACATAAAAGATTACAGAGAAATTTCTTGATCGGCTGCCACGAAAACATTTTTTTATTATTAAAACGTTAAAAGAGAACTGCATTAATCTGGCTCTGTGCAGCATCCTCCATCTTCACTTGGTGACAAGCAGTGTTCGATTTCTAAACTAAGAACCACCCGTTTCTAGGCTTTCTGCTCTGAGCCTCATTTTGTGAGGCGCTAAGCACCCATAAACTCCCATTTCCTTTGCTAAGAGCTCATCCTTATCCTGCAACTAAATCAGTACATCAGGGAGAAAAAACTGATGCAAATTAGGTATCAGCCTTCCTTAAGTCAAACTAGAGAGTGCTATTTGTAGCATTGTAGTTTAGATGAAATAAAAGTAAGTCTTCTGACCATACATCCAGGGTCCAGTGTGAGTTTCAAAACTTACTGGGTGATTTTTCAGTCCTGCTTGGGCAAGACTCCTGTTGACTTAGGGATTGCTTGAAGTGCAATGATTTTCCCATTGACTTCACTGGGAAATGGAATTTCTTCCAAATGCCTGTGGGGATCAGGGGGATGCCAAATGCCTTTAGCATTTTAGTGTCTTCTGGCTCCAGCCATGTGCTCTGTAATTCTGTTTATTAAGAAAAACCCAACATGGATGCTGTGTCGATAGAAATAATACAATTTGTGTTGCATAATGCACTGAGGTTTGACTGGAACTTGTTTTGCAGTCTGCTGTGCTGGCTTTGTAGATCTCTTTTTTTTAACCCTCACAGAAGAGACATGAACTTAGGAAATGATATACATGTTTGAGATATGTAGTGAGACAGTGAGATGCAGTATGAGCCAGGGGCCTTCTTCACCTTAAAAATCATCTTAGAAGCAACACATGGTCCTCAGCGTGTCATTTTGCTTTGTAAACATGACGATGGAGAATGTGGCAAATTGCAGCTGAGTTGAGCAGTTATATATAAGCACATGGCTTAACATATTGGTTAGCTGATCATACTAGTCCTTTAGTCTAACCAGTTTCTTTAAACAAGACAGCAAGAAATCCATCATGGTAGAAGGGAGCTATGCCAGCGTGTTGAGTGTGGGATTAGGACCTGTGGCCCAGACCTGCCATACAGCTGGCAGCATCCACAGTTTCTCTTTTCAGCAAGGATGTGTGTGCCCACCAAGCAGTTGGCATTAGGGGTGTTAGTTTTGTGATTAATCCCTTTTTAAACACTGTTTGCTTGTGGACAGAGATGCTTCTTGCTCTGAGCCTAGCTTGGATCTTAGGCTGAGCAGAATTCATGCTGCTTTCTTTTGAGTATCACTTCATTGCCTCAGATTGAGGGAGAGGTTATGACAACTCGAAGCTGCCAAAAAGGAGGTCAGTATGAAGGTGTTGGGTGGCTGAGTGCTAGGAAACAGAAGAGGGCTGGAGACACATCAGAACGGATCCTCATTTTGCATAACACCATTTGGGATCAGGTGGATGGCCTGGTGCCATTGGAATGGGATGTGGGAGACCTGGCTTCACTCCCCAGCTCAGTTGCAAACTTCCTGTGGGATCTCTGGCAAGCCATTTTATTTATCCCACTGATGAGTTTTCTGGAGTATGGGGTACAATAAAAGCAGAAATAAAATCCATTAGTCATTGCTGTGTTACATTACAGGACTGAGACTGCAAATAAGGCCCAATACCAGATAATTGGTCAGGTTCCAAAATTTCCCATCGAAATCTATGGGAAACAGGCACCCTACATAGGAAGTAGGAGCCAGTTTATTTGGGTAAATTGAGACTGGATTTCACAATGACTTATTTCATACAAGGATCTGTTCAGCTGATAAGGAGAATAGGCAGGAGCGGTGGGTGATCCTGGCACTGTCTCTTGGACCTCCCATCATATCTTCTGTTAGCTACTAAAATAGTATTTTCCAAGAAGTGATGATAAACCCTGAGGCACAGAGCTCTTTCTGAGGTGCTGAAGATACTGCTGTCTTCACATCTTACCTGGCTCTGCAGGTGATTTCACAAGCTCCATGTTCCTTAGGGCATGGTTTCTTGGAGGGAGGAGAAAAGGAGTTGGTTGGTTTGTAGACCAGAGCCTTATGATGTGTGTTCCTAGTAAAGCTGAGAGTAAAACAAGCTCCAGACTCACAGTCATCTGAGTATAGAAAAGGAACTGGAAGCAGTGAGTGTGACAGTGCAGAAGATGGGAGTATAGGATTTTGGTAGCTTGCAGAGAGGGTAGTTGAGTCCTGTGTGATATCCATTTACATTTTTTAGTGCACATCACAGTTTTCTTTGGAGCCAGCAGTGAAACCTTGAAACTCTCCAGTGATGTTACAGAGGACATTCCAAGCAGCAGAGTGCTAAAATCCTTAGTTTTGGTGTACTGGAATCTGTGTGCAGTCCTCTGTTTGCTTACATCTTCCTGATCCTCTGTTTGCAAATTGTGCTGGTCGTTTTCAGAACCCCACTGCATGGGACACGACCTGAACTGCTTCACTTAACAAAACCAAATAGTTGGAGCAGTTATTTTGTTGTTTTTTATGATAAATGAAATGCCAAGTTTTCCATCTTTGCTTTTTCTCATGGCCCTTTAACCCATGTGGTAGGCTTATTTAGGGAACAAGACAAGCCTGGATGCAGTCCCAGAGTCTGCAGTAGCTTCAGATGCCCCTCCAAAGGTTAGGATACTTCACAGGGGATTTGTTCTGCAACAGAGAGGCTAAAAGGAAACCCATGCTAGTTACTTTTTGCTTTTGATTCTGTCCTAGTGCTGCCCTGAAAACCAAGCAAGAGAAAATTTACAGAGGCAGCATTGTTGCTGTTGGGTCTGTAATACCATATTTTCTACTGTAGCCTCATACAAGAACTTCAAAATGCTTGTTAGAAACATTTCACATGCAATATTATTGTTCCTATTTCTACACCTTTCCAGTAAGAAAAGCTGTATTATGCCTTTCACATAAAAATGCAACTGTTTTACTTTAGATGTGGTTCTCTGCCACAGTGTGTGCACTGTTTCAGGGTAAAATGGATATTAGAATTAAATTGTGCATGTTTATACACGACATTTAACTATGTCTGTGTCTTCCCTGCCTTTTGCCCTTGCAATTGCATTAACAAGGGAGTATATTAGACTAATTGCAGTAGGATTTGGTCTTGTGCATATGAACGGCACAGATTTATATGTATGGAACAGCACTGTAGAGACAATGATGCAAATAACATACCTGAGATTTAATATTTTGTTTCCTGTCCTAGGATATGATGATGTTTCAGAAACAAACTTGAGGTCCTATAGTGTTCATTCTGCTAAACATGTGCAAGAGAATCGTCCTGTGCCCATTCGCAGAAAAAGAAGCATTGGTAAGAAACAAGCTGTTTGTACTTTGGGAGTGAAAGCAGAGGGGGTGCTTTTGGTCAGCCAAGCAGGACATTTCACTGGAAAAATGTGACATGCACAAAGGGAAAAAAGGGCATTTCTGGTTTCTGCCTTTCTTTTTGCACAAAACGAGCCGTTGCCTGAGAAGCTGTCTTCTGGAGGATGTCCATAGGAGACAGACAAGCACAAATTCTTTACATTCACTTTCTTGTTGCAGCATGTTCGAAAGCTAGACCTCGGTTAGAAAATGCTGTGATATTCAATGTATAATTCATAGTGTGGGGAACAACTACAGCAGTGTGCCTTAAAAAACATCAACAGTTGGTAGAGTTTTCAGTACAGAAGCTCCACAAAAGGAAACAGCTTGACTCTTTATTCACAAGAAAAATACAGTTTATCCTAAAAATTAAAAACCATTGATGGAAACGCCAGGACACTGATTTCCATCATTGAGTAGGGCACCAGGCATGTTTACAGGGGATTTTATTTTTATTAAGCGACGATGACGGTGACCCGACAACACCCGAATATAGATTTAAGAGATGCTAGCACAGGGTTTGTATGCGACGCTTGTTCATCTGATTAGGCCTGGGTGTTCTCCCATTTGACTGTGGAAAACATCCGTGGTCTTATCTGGGATGGGTAGTTCAGAGCCAGTCTATTTGTGCTCTCAGCTGTGGTGGTACGCAGCGATAGCGCAGCGTGCTGTCAGCGTGGATTGCAGTGTGAATTGGCAGGCGCGCTCGTCACACTGAATGCCTCCGGAGAACAGCGGTTCTGAAACAGTCTGCTACACTTGGCACCTCACCCTGCAAGGTGTTGAATGCCTCCCCATAAAAGTCAGTGGGAACTGGATATGCTCAATAACTTGTGGGAGTTGCCAGCTATCTTGCAGTATTGGATCCGTTAATTTTCTTGAGTTCACGGCGCTGGGGATTGAGAAAAAGAATTTTCACTCTATTTAGTCCATTGAAATGCATCTCTTTCAAAACTGAGCCTAGATTTTCATGTTACAGGCACAGGCCAGGCCTGAACTTCTTGTACTTCAGAAGTAACTGAAGAAGTGCAGGCAGTGTTCCAGTTCCTTGACACATCTAACCCAAAGCTATCACTGCTTCCACTGTAAGGCAAAAAAAAAAAAAAATCCAAGCTGTCTTTGGAGAACTTATCGTCAAACAACTTGTCCCTGCGATTGCTATTTTTTGCTGGACCATTTTGAAATATCAGCTTGACTTCTTAGGCAGTCCCTAGGATGAGAATGATAACATGGTTTGGATCGTGACCGCATTACACAGTAGTACAGAACTATATAATATGTGACTGAAGCTGTGGTTTGCAGGCTCACCTTACCTGAGGCCCAGCAGGATTTGGTTTAGCTGCAGATTTTTTGGTCACGATACTCTTGTGGCTTTGCCTCATTCAAGAAATAATAAATTAAATAAAACCCACAGTGTACAAAGCTTTGATAACTTGAGTAAAAATTGCAATTGCCCTTTGGAATGGTGGATGGACCAGACTGCCTGATGTGGGGATGTTAAGGTTTTGGAAGTGGAAACCCAAATCTCGAAAGGTTCAAGCTGGTGCAGGTTTTCTCCCAGCTGAACCAGTTTGGGTATGACTCAGGTAACATCAGTGGAACCGCTGAGGTGTTATTTGCCAGGTATTGCATGTTTGTGTGATACCATGTGTGTGCAGTGATTGCCACAGTGCTGGAAAACAACAGCCGCTGTTACACAGTCGCTATGAGGCTGTATTAGAGGGTCATCAAATCTGGAGGAGCCCCTGGCTTGCTGTCACTTCTAAAGAGCCAGGATTGTCTTATCTAATGGTATGTGCTCCGAGCTATGTCGGGAGCCAGGCCATTGTAAACCCTCATTTCTGGGCTGGGCTTTTGGGAGTGAGTCAAGCTTCTCCCTCGGGTAGCACACACACAGTTTAGTGGCAGGCAAATAATGCTCAGCACCGACTTGTCCGTAACTGGGGGGAGCTCAGAACACCGTCTCAGCTCACAGCTCAGGGGGTGCCACTTACGGAGGGTGCAAAACATCTGCGTGCTGTGGGGTGAGAGCAGCTGCTCACCTGGAAGTGTGAATTTCTTGTGCCCGCAGAGGAGGCCATCCCGGCTGTCTGCAAGACACGGACGGTCATCTACGAGATACCTCGGAGTCAGATCGATCCCACCTCGGCCAACTTCCTGATATGGCCGCCCTGCGTGGAGGTGAAGCGCTGCACTGGCTGCTGCAACACCAGCAGTGTGAAATGCCAGCCGTCCCGGATACACCACAGAAGTGTCAAGGTGAGCAAATCCTGGCTGCAGAGCCCTCAGAGGGGTCCTCTTCGGTCCGAAAACTCCATATATATTCTCATGGCTGTGCCGTATGACCTGAATCTTCATTATCCATCCTCCCAGCCCCAGGATCAGATAGAATGCTCCTCTCCGTTTTGAGTGAGCAGATGGCCTTTTCGAGTTACGTGATCCTTGGAAAATCCTGGGTTTGGATTTGATTTTCGCAGGATTCCCTTTAGGTTTTCTTCTTTTGTAATGAAAATAAAGTTGATTGTGTCTTTCCCATGATCTCGCGCAGTACAGATCTTAAAGTTAAGAAGATAAAATGACTCAAGGGGCATTGGACTTAAAAAAATAAATAAATCACAGTATGGAATGCTGTTTTCTTAATTAAATATTATGCAGCCTAAATTGGGCTTTTATATTTGACAACATAACACTTTTGATCTGAAAAAATGTGTTTCAAATTATCTTACCCCAGGGATAGAAGACTCAACAGCTTCATGCTGTATTTACTCATTAGACAAAATCCCTATTGCAACTTTCCAGTAAATATTACGTGAAATATTTATGTTCATTTGGCTTCACTGTGTTCTAGTTTTTATCAGTATTTAAACAAGTACTGTTGATCTACATCTGTGTGTAGGAGATTAGACTTACACTTAGCATTTATATTGTGAAGACTCTAAGTTCTTGTTGTTCTTGTTGCCCTGAGTATTTTAAGAGCAGAATTTAAAAAAAAAAGAAACCACCACACTCTTGAACATAAAATTGCCCAGCACAACACACTGATCACTGTACTTGCAATGGATTTCTTATTTAGAAAAGTGCTGTTCACTTAGTGCTGTACGTCCTAGACAGAAAATTTAGGCACCGAAGCCATTTCATTGTTTTTCATATGTGCAGACATGACTCTGAGCAGGATTTCTTTTTCTTTTCTCTTTCTGAATATCTGAAAAATGTTTTCACATCCAAATAAGCCGGAGAAACATCTGAGCAGATTCCCTCGGTGTTTCCAAAAATAATCATACTTTACACTTGCTTTCTGCCTTTCCTTTGTGGGATATGCTTTGCAGAAACAATTAAAAATGAGTTAAAAATTGGGATCAGTAATTATTTGAGGGTTGAGAACAAACTGGGGAAGTTGAATGACTGTAATTGTAAGCCTTTCCAAATAGGAGCTAAACAGCAAAGTGCCTCAGGGTTCAGTGCTGTTGCCTTTGGGTTTGATGCAGCTTCCAGTTAGTTTTGTGTAGCAGCTAACACATACAAAGCAGCTGGAAGTGCCCAGCAAAGAGTTGAGATGTGTATTACAAACTTGCTGTTGGTACCTGTGTGTGATACTGCAACCTTGTGCTTCTCTTCCTACCCCTGCAGTGATGGGGGAGACAACAGATGAGAGAGAGAGATTTGGCTGCCAAAGTCCCCCACTGCTGGGGACACCAAGCGTCCCCTAGAAGCTGCAAACACCCCAACTGGCAGCAGCTTTGCAGGATGTCATTGCTGGGGCTGGTTCCCTCATTCACTTTGCTGATATGGTTGTAGTGCTTTTAGATTTGCATTCATTTTAGTAGGGCACAAGCTAAAAGTAGGCTCAGCTGAGCAGCTGCTTTTCGTGGCTGTGTAAATATATTGCCACCAGCAATATCAATATACGTCAGCCAGCTTTGGAGGACATTTTTTTTTTCCAAGCTCCAAGACTGCTCCAAACGGTCATTAAGTAGCAGGGGAAAAAAAGGACAAGAGGTCAAGCAGGAACAGGATGTTCATTGTAAAGGTTGTAGGCTGACCCCACTGTCACACCAGAACTCTCAGAACACAATCCATATTTATGCCCTCCAGAGTCAGATCCTCTTGTAGCTTTGATGTAATTGATGGTTTTCTGAGCCTTTTGCCAATCCTGTGTTTAGAGCTGAATGTCTGCTCATGCCATTAAGTAGCTGGCCCAGAATGAGGGTCGCTGGAAAGGTAGGGGGAGCGCTTTTGGAGGGCCTTCTCAGCTGTTCTGCGGTGCAGTTGGAAAGCCGGCTTGTGTTTTCCCCTGATGTCAGACTGCATAAAAGCTCTCTTTTGATTGAACATTGAAAAGGCTTTCCCTGCTTCCTCCTCATTGACAAGGTAGTGAGATCATAGCTGGCCCATTCACACTAGAAAAATGTTCATCCAGAAAGGTCAGCAAGTAGGTTTGCATCATCCAACAGGCGAAAGCAGAGGGTGTTTTCTTTGTCTTACTGAGGGCCACTGTAGTCAAGGTTAAGAGACGGCTGTGGCAGTGTGGGAGGAGCAGTGGAGGTGCTTGCATTGGGCATTCAGTTCTTGGGACATGAGGCAAGGGCTGGAGGGTTGGGGGATGTCCTTACTTTGCCTTCACTGAGCTCTGGTCAGTGAAGCACCATTAATGGGCTTGTGGAATTGGAGCTGTAGGGAGGCTCCAAGCCAGGGGTGTGGGTGGAAGAGCTTCCTTGAAATGAGTCTTCTAAGATTTCCCTTTCATGGGGTGGGTTAGTGAAAGGTAGGTTTGCCTTGCACCGTAGCAGAGTGAGCCCACGAGAGCACAGCCCCCTGGCCCTAAAGGCATCTCTATATAGCAAGCTGCACTTGCACAGCACTGCAGAAATGAGACTGAAATGAAGAGGCTGGTTGGGAGTTGCTCTTTGATAGGAAGGAGAGGATTACATTTCTCTTCTGGTAGAGTAATGGTGACAAGAATGGGTGAGTTAGGGGTGTTGGTGTCAGTTACAGAGAGATTTCCTCCTCTATCTGCAAAAGCATTTCAGTAACATCTGCAGATTGGTTGCTTCTGCCCAGCGAGATCAAGTACTTACCAAGTACCAGACTTGCTTTTTTTGGAGGGGTTCTGAACAGAGTCTTTTGAAGAGGCTTTTTGTAGTGTTGAGTATGGTGGTGTTCTTGGTGGTTTTTGTCACAGCAGCATAAAATAGTTAATGTTACAGAGCAAATCTTGATTATACTGCTAATTTTAAATAGCCAAGCTGAACATTATGGTTGTTTGCTCATTTTCAAACTAAGAGACAAGAGCTAAATGACTCTATCTACCTTGGCTTTGCCTCAGGTTGGCCTTCAGCCATAGCCCTGCCAGCTTCAGCCATTTCTGCATATTCAGTGTTGAGCTAACCTGAGGAAATTTAACCTAGTATGTTCTTACAGTACAGTAATAGGAGAGAAAGATGCAGAGAAAGGACCTGGAAGGGAGGGAATGCAGGAGCAGCTCCTCACTGGGGAGTTGTTCAGAGGTTTGAAGAGAGATGGAAAAAAAATGCAGGAATTCAGAGTGAGTTGTTCAGCAAAGCTACCCAGCCTCTGAGGAGGTTAAAAAGGCCTTGCAGAACAAATGGGACATGTAGGTAAAATGGCTGTATGTCATGTTTGCAGGTTTAAGAACATTTTTCTTCAGTGACTTTCTGTCAGGAGGATAAACAGCAGTTTGATTTAGCTGTGGCTTAACTGGCGATTACAGCCAGCACTCGGTGGGACCTGCAGGCAGGACTTGGTATCAAAGGTCAGTTTAGGAATGGGAGAAACAAAGGAAACCCTGACACAGGTGAAGGCGGAAAAGCAGCGATGAGCCCTCAGAGCGTAAGGAGCCCTGGCAGAGGGTAGGGTCTGGCTGCTCTGCTCAGAGACACGGCACACGGAGCCCCCACATCAGCCATTCCCTCTGGCAGGGGGGTGACGAATTTGCTTCAGCTGCCCCTGGACCTTGAGGCTTTTCTGAGGCAAGGATTTTGGCAGAGTAGTGGCCTGTAAATGTGTTTTTAGGATGGGTGGGTGCCAGACTCTGAGGCGCTGGGCAGGCACAGCTGGCACAGTGTGCCCTGGAAGGCACCATTCCAGTCCTGCCCTCCTGTCCCAGGAGCAGTGACTTGCCAGGCCCTACAGCAGCCCTGATGCCTCCCCAGTACTTTATTCCCTGTTGACTTATGTCTTCCTTGTAGACAGGTTTTCCCTCCATCATATCAGCATGCATAATACAGAGGCAATATATTCCAAAAGGTATCCTCATTCAGTTGCTTTTAGGGTTTATTTCTCAACCAGTATTTAGCTGTCAACCACATGAGTTCTGCTGTTATGAGGAACTTTCTGTACCTTGCAAGTTCCTGCCCACGATAAGGTTTGGCTTTGTGCTAGAGGTGTTTTGGACATTTCTGCTTGCAGTCTAGTTTTTTTCCTGCTGTCAGTCCCTGATTTCAGCTCTCCCAGAGCAGCTTTAAAAAATGTGTTCCCATGATGTTTCCATTAGGCCATATATTTTTATCAGATTTTATTTTCATTTTTACTTAGCCACCATGCTATATTGCAGGATGTGGACCTGGAGTCTACACTGATGCAAGGATGGTGCCACTGGTTATACACCATTTAAGTTAGTCAGTCATTTCGCTGCCTTTCTCTTGAAAAGTTTTTACATAGTGACATTTCGTGGGTCTGGAGGATCTGAGGATTTTTATTTTTGTTGCATTAGAGACAAGTCAAAAAAGCTTGTTGATTTGTGGAGGACTGACCACCTCGAGGCATTGGGTAATACACTTGAGACTAACTGTACAAGATAAACACTGGGGAGAAAAATACAAAGAAGAAGAAAAGATCTGTACACAAGGCCAGCTTTCATGCTGTTCACAGCTATCCCTGTTTCTACCCACTGAAAATCTGACCTTCATCATTGTAGATCAGTGCTGTGTGTGGCAGCAGCATTGTGTGTGTTAACAGGTGACACAAACACTGCAACTTGTTTGGTCTGTGCTGCTTCAGTTTGAATATTTGCAACGTCTTACAAAATGACATTGCTTTAACTTGTGTAACGTGAAGGAGGGCAGTGTGCTGGATTGTATTTTAACTGCAGCGGTAAAAAACAGCTTTAAATTGCTGCATAAATTAATTATGATCCTCTTCAAAGTATTATCTTTTTTTTAAGTGTTGTTTAATACCAAATAGCCACAGGAACTCCATGTATCTTTCAGTTTGGAAAACCAAGCGCAACAAGGGCAGACTTTTAAAAGCTTGATTACAGTTTATTTTTGTTGCGTCTAATTTTCAATGAGACTGGTTTATTCTAACAGCTGTAATAAGCATGGCAGATCTGAAAGCTGTTTCATGATTGCTGGGTCTCCTTCTTTGTCTCTGATGATGGAGGTGTCTTAATTACTGTTTGTTTTCATAAATTTTAAGGATTAGTCATCCTTTGATGCCACATGACTCAGCTGTACCATACATTTTCAAATCTTTGTGTTCAAAGGCTAGATGTAGCTGGGTTCTGATAGGAGATTTTGAAACATACTGCTTCAACCCATAGCTAGTCTTTCACCTGAAGTGTTGTATGTCATGGCTAGCTCCTGATCTGTTTATATGGAGATCTGACAGTTTCGGAATGTACCTTTTAATGTGGATACTTTTTTATTGCATCTGTCTCTGTAAGTTTTGTTTGCTGGGTAAATGAAAATCATCTCCAGATCCTGTTGACACAAGGGGCAGTGACTAGAACTGGATCTGAATTCCTTGTTCCATGAAGGAGAAGGCAGATCTCCCACTGGCTTTAAGAAGGCCAGGATTTTGCTCTGGCTTCTGTCACTGTCATTCAGAGGTCCTTGACAGTTGTGTCCAGAGAGCCAGAAGAGTGTTTCTGGGAGCTGGGAATGTGATGGGTTTTTCCAGCCACTGCTCTCATTTTGTGACACTGTTCCAATTTTGGAAGGGCACGGGAATGATTTTCATAGTGTGAAGGTTGATTTGGAGCATTAAATCCCCGTCAAACACACAAGTAAACCATGACTGGGAGAGTCTAGTGTAATTGTGGATGCTTTATTTGGTAGCAACAGGAGCTTTTGGCTGGACCAGCCTTTATGGCTTTGTCATGTAACTGTTGTAGAGACAACCAGCCTCTCCTGTCCTTCTTCTCCCTCATCTCTCTTATTTATGCATCCATGGGATATGTAGTCATCTTGTTTGCTGGGACAGCCACATTGCAGTGCCCTTTTGTCAAAGGATGAATAGGACTGAGAAGCCATGATTTTGTTTCAGTGATTTCCATTTCAAGCAATTGATTATCACTTAATCTGCAGTGTTCAACACAAAACTACACATTGGACGCCTTACAAACTCTCTAGGACTCTCTTTGCCCACATAATGCCATATTCCCTTGCACAACCATTACCATCACACCCATTACACTTAGCACAAGTCAGTGCCCAGCATCCCACAAGCCATTTCAGCACCTCAGAACATGAGTGTTCCTGCCCTCTGTGCCATTCCTCCTCTCCTGGCTTCCAACCTGTTGGTCAGGATGTCCTAAGGTTTGGCATCCCCCCCACCAGTGTCCTTCTGTTCTGCATTGGTTCCCTTCAGATGAGAGACCAGCGTGTATCCAGAGCTACTCCAGCAGCTCCTCCAACCTCACCTTGCCCTCCAGGCTTTTTTGTTGTAAGGATCCCATAATGGAGCAGTGCACTTGGAAGCAGTTGGAAAGACTGGAGAGGAATAGTGTGCCTGCCAGCAATCCACAGTAAGGCCAAAGGCTGTATCCAGTTTGCAAGTGGTAGTTCCCTTAGACCTAAAAACTATTCATGGGAGCTCCTGTAAACAAGTCCTAGGTTGTTGCAGGAAGTGAGAAGGAATGGGATTGCTGCTTTCTGAGATGGTGCTCAGATCCTGGCTATGTAGAGTTGAGCACTTCACATTCAGAAGGCTCGGAGACACCAATTTGTAAATAATAAAATGAATTACAAACCAGTCTAATGCCTTCACTGTCAGCCTTTAACAACATGTACAGAAGAGTGTGCTAAAAGTGGCAGTTCACAAGAACAACCACTGATTTGAATCCACGTGGAAGTTTACTGTGATATGTGTGAAAACTGAGTTGCTTAAAACTTCAAACCAAAATGAATGGGAAATTGTTTTATCTCTTGGGGGAAAAGCAAATGGTTTCAAACTGCTGAACTTGAGTAAACAAATAGTCTGTGCAATAAATAGCTACACGATGCACAATTAAGATAAAGGATGATTAGTATGCTAACGTTTTGTATGGGTTTGGCTACATTAAAAACAGAGGTGTATAGTTATCTGTCTTCAGTTCTGAACTATAACCATGTTAATGTGTCTCAGTACGTACCTCATCGTATTTTATAGGTGGCAAAAGTGGAATATGTTAGAAAAAAGCCAAAATTAAAAGAAGTTCTGGTGAGATTAGAAGAGCATATGGAATGCACCTGTACATCATCAAATACTAATTCAGATTATAGAGAAGAAGAAACTGGTATGTTTTCCTTTTATTTTTGCATTAATGCTGATTTCATATGGACCTTATATTTTTATTAGTAAAGAATGCAAAGCAAATGTTGCTTCCAGTGAACTCAGTAGAGAAGCTCCCAGCTACTTCTCTGTGTGTTGAGGATGCAAAATTAGGGACAGTTTGTGCTATATAAGGAGTTTGGATTTCAAGTTTAAAGTGTATCAGTTCTCTTTAGGTTAGACTTTAAATAAATGTAAATGCCCAGTAGTATTCAGGTCTTGCTTCACTAAGTTAAAGGTTGTCATGTTGCAGCTTATTGGTGAGCTCTGTTGCCTAATTTCTTTAGACTTTGTGGAGACAGGGCTAAGTCTGAGATTTACTTGACCTTGGGGAAAATATTAATGAAATTAATGTAAAGCACTTCAGAATAAATTCAGTGTTCAAGGGTAAGGAGTGAGTTTTGTAACAACACTGCACATTCCTGTTGTTTTCTTATGTATGTGTGGTCAAGAATTTGTCAGTTTTCACATTAAACCTAAATTTGCCTCATCAAGACAACATTTAAGTTACAATGGGGAAAGATTAATGGGGAAAATGCTTTTTCAATCTGGCTTTCATAAAATCATTCTAAATTGATCTAAAATCATAATCTAAAATCTTAGCTCAGATCTTCTTACTAGGGTGTAATCAATGCAGAGCTTGACACACGTATTAAGGAACCCCACTACAGCAGAAAGGACATCTCCCTTTCTTCTGATACTGGTTGAAGGCAAACTCAAAAGTTTGTTTTGCACCTCTGCAGGAAATTTAAGGGTGCAGTAGATCCAGCCCAAAATTAACAGTCAGTGAGGAGCAGGTAAAAATAGGAGGAAAGCTGCCCAAAGGTGGATTTTTTAGGTGGCTGGGTAAGGAAGGGCTTTCTGTACTGTCTCCCTCCAGCATGGAGACATAAACCTGGTCCAAGCAAATGTAAACTTCAGTTGCTATGAACAGAGTAGAAGAATTAGAATTTGTATAAAAGCAAAGTTAGACCTCTGCTGTGATTTTATTGGACATCAATTTATAATCTGAGCTGAGTGTTTAGCTGAAACTATGTGGAGTTATGAGTAGATAAAACCACATTTAAAGTGGTTCTTTTTGATGTCTGTATGGTTTGATATATTTTCTGTGTCTTCTATTTGGAAAAAAAAAAAAGTTTCATTTGATCAGTTTCACTTTTCCAAATTGTCTTTAACTGCCAAAGACTAAAGCAGTTAAGATTTTAAGATGAAAATTTTTCTTTCTGATACGTGTAAAAAATGGGGTAGAATCGTCGTGGAAAAATATAGATTTCTAGGATTTAATTACTGATAGGAACAAAACTTGCACCAGCAAGTGGATGGTGAGCTGAAAATAGCTTAACTCCAGAGCTGAAAGCAAATGTTGAGTACTGCATGGTAACAGTAATTATAGCTGGATCTTGGAAATGACGTATGCAATGCCAACTTCGTTTATTATTTCTTTACTTTTGTGTAATTACTTTGTAAACCGAATGTCAAATCAGACGTTATGAAGTTATTACTTTAATGCAAAGGATAATGAGATTTCTTTGAAATGTAAACGGTTTGAGTATTTATTACTTCAGTGTTCAACGAAACGCGTTACCTTCGGGCTTTTTACCAGCCCTGCCCTTATGTTAACAGGAAGGCCTAGGGAATCAGGTAAAAAACGGAAACGAAAAAGGTTAAAACCAACATAAAACCTACTGGAACTATTTGATATTCAGGTAGGACCTATATGCTGAACACCCTTAATAGCACAAGTACTGGAAAACTTAATCAAATGCCATCACTTCAACTTAATCACTGTTCAAAATCTTGACACTTGCTACCTCAAGGCTGCGGAGAGATTAGATTTGATTGGCTTTGATAATTCTACTTGCTGGTATTTTCCCTTTAAGCTCCACATCACCATCAGCATCTTACATTCTTTAGCTACTTCCTTTTCTTGCCTTTTTCATTTCTTTTTTATTGGAGGGTGCTAATACTTCAGCTTCTGAAATCTCAAGTTCCATTGCCTCTGCTTGTGTTTCATTATTATTGATTTCTGAGGTCAAAGCATCACATAATAATGCATGAATGAATTACCAGGTTACAAATTGTTGTGTTCCCAGTCCTTGGCTGTAAAACATTGAGTGTACATACAGCAAATACTATTATATGTGTGGCCATCAAACCCGTGTTCTGGCATGAACTGGGATTGATTGTTCATGCATCTGATAATCTGCCTACCTGGCAAGGAAGATGCTTAGAAATACCACTTTTTGTGTTGCAGGGCCATGTGTTATTTACACCAGAAAATTAAGATCTCTTTTTTTTTTTTTTTTGGTCTGTTCAGTCCCAGTAGGATGATGACAGTCAGTCATCAAAATTCATGAGGTTTTCAGTGTAGTGAAAAACTAACACCCTCTCAGTGCAAAAATGACTGAAATCCTTTGGCCAACATATTAGCAGTGTATGATGATGGCGATACACATTCCAAATTAAATACGGAATTTCCATTTCTAAATGACTTGAAAGTATGTAAACTGCAGCACTTGCAACTGATTCTAGTATTTGGAGTGGGAATGATTTGGATTTTGCAGTGTATGTGCCTAACGCCTGGATGATGGTGAATTTAATTTCAAGCCCCTGTTTTTGCACATAAACTCCCAATGGCAGTTTTCATTTATACTGATGTACCGTTTCTGAAGAATGCTAAACTTGATATCCTGTTTCAGATTAACAGGTATTTATTGGGAGTAGTATGATAGAAGCAAAGATTTTCTAAAATTCAACTTTAAAAGTGAGCATGTAAACTCAATCAGAACAGCATTTAGAACTTCTTGTCCCAGGTTAGTGACTCTTCATGCAGAACAGTTTTTTTTTTAAGTCATCTGCTTCGAGGACAGGACCTTTGATTCTAATCATAGAGTTATTGTATCTTTTTTCTCTCCTACAGATGTAAGGTGAAAATAAGCTAGAAAAAAAACTTCTCTCTGGGACATGGATGTACATGGTTTGTTACATTCCTGAACCTACTATGTATGGTGCTTATTGACTGTATACTTTATTTGTTCTCCTGTGTGAAAAAACTGGCTCAAAAGAACACTTAATGAGAACAAAGAGACAATGTACATTTGTTTAATGTGACATCAAAGCAAGTATTGTAGCACTCTGTGAAACAATAGGAAGCTTCCCTGTCCAAAAAAGAAAAAAAAAATGAAAGAAAGAAAAACAGAAAAGAAAAAAAGACAGTTGAATGAATGGAGGATACCAAAAGTACTCAAAAACATGACAAAAATCTAAGTGAATAGTGGATTTCTGTCAGAGCAGTCAACGGTGCTTTACGTCAAGAAATGTGCCTGCGTTCTTGATGAAGATGGATGGACACTGGTGGACTTCAGGCACAAAAAAAGCAGGAATGTACGAAATGATCAAATGCCACGCAAACACTATAGAACAATACATCCTTGCTTGGTGGTGTTTTAAAAGTCTATACAAAAAAACCTTCTGGGGAGCCTTAAGTGGATTTTTTTTTTTACACCATAAAGTGATTATTAAGTTTTCTTTTTACTCTTTGCCTAGCTTTTTATTATCTCTCGGACTACATTTGCCAATAACACATATAAAAGACTGGTATAACAATAAGCAGAACACAAAACATTATGGTATTTCTCCTAGTGGGATGCAAACTAATGAGATGTATTAAAATAAAAATGGTATACCTATGCATAATTTTCTAGACGTTTCTTGGTTTATGTTCCCCAACCTCCCCCGTAATTTAAAGCATTACATAAAAGAAAAAAAAAAGAGAAAAAAAAAGAGAGATGTGCGTAAACAAATCATAGGCTATCCATGCAAAAATCTTTTTTTTTTTCCTTTAAGACTTATGCCAGTTGCCTACTAGTGATATTGTGTTAGCAATTGTCATTCTTATCAGTATACAGATACTTTTATTTCACATGTTGGAGCTGTGTGAAATGTACAAATTCTTGTATCTGCATTGTATAATGTCATGGTGGCATGGGAACTACCTTGCTGCAAATATTTGAACAAAACCTAAAATTCTTTATTTTTGGTAAAATGTTATGCTTTATGTGTATTCAACAGAAATATGTGTTTTTGTAAAGGTGAAGTTTGTATTTTTATCTAAAAATTAACAGTTTTATATACCTGAGAAAGCCTGCTATGTTTTCTTGAACCAAAAAAAAAAAAAAAAAAAAAGAAAAAAGAAAAAAAAAAGCATTTTGTGGTCATATTTTTGTAGTAGAATAGCCCAAATAACATCAAAATCTATTTTAATTATAGCAGGGCAGATAAAATACTCTGGCAGCAGCTCCTGTTTTTTCAAAGTGCCAAAGGATTAAATGTTCAGTTCCCCTCGGATTGCAGTGGGAGCCACATGGCTAAATCCTTCTGTATTGCTTTGGAAATTTAGGGCTGTGCCAGATATGACATGGCTACTCACTTGGCCAAAATTACTGCCCCACCCCAGTAGTTTGGATTATGTACCCTTTGTTTTATTTGGATTATCACACTGGATATGTAAAATGAACTACTGGATTCTTTTATTGTGAGACATCTACAAAGAGATGAAAGAGTTTTCTTAGTTTGGAACAACAAAAAAGTTTGTCTTGAAGACAGTTTTTCCACTCAAAAATATCTTCAAATGTGAATGAACTGCAGAACCTTAAAACAACAAAAGAGAGCAAGATTTTTAACCTTTCCACTTCTCTAAATATAGTTCAAACATTCCCCTCCTGTTCCTGTAGCTATGTCAAATTTCAACCAAACAAAGCAATGTTAGCTAACAGGCATTATTGGCTTCAGATGCTAATGCAGAGATAGAGTTAGTCACCGTTCTATTTTGTGATCATTTTCCCAGTGTATTTGTTGAGCACCAAAACTGGAAATACATTTAACTAAGATTGTCTGTGCTTGTTTTCCACTAAGTGTACTGTTCACAATGTTATGCACATGAATGTATGTGTCTGCGTTTAAAAAAAGTGTATAAAATGTAATTTATATATTTATGTTTCAGTGGGATGCCAGTAATGTTGCTCCGTTCCTTTTTTTTGTCTAAAAGATATCTAATGAAAAAAAAACAAACCAAACATATATCCATTAAAATCATGTAAATGAAAAAGCATTATGTGACCCACTCAGACACTGTGCAGGTGATGAAAGGATGTCAAAGTCACTTAAGTGGAATAATTTGAAAAACAACTCTTTGAGAGTCCTGCACTGGCATAAGAAGGTTGTGTTGGGATCTGTGGGCCAGCTCCCCTGGAATGACTCCATGGAGCATCCTGCAGCTCTGCTGATTTACATCACGAGGGAGTCTGGCCTTAAAGTCTTGAAAACAAAGCCAACCGAGGGGCACGTGTTTTGTTGGTGCCAGCAAATAAACGTGTTATGCCAAATTCAGCAAACCAGGGGAGGATGAAGACTGAATGGAGTCCTTTCCAGTAGTCATTTGTTTGAGACTTGTGGTCTCGAGTTAATTTTGTTACGGGGAATGAAACGCACACGAGTCTTTGTTCTCAAGCACAGTGTTCATGTGGCATGCGGCAGAAAACACAGAAATCTCAGGGCTACATTCTCAGCTACTATAAATTGGCAAAACGTTTCTGACTTCAGCTGCCCCCAACCTAATTTACATCAGATGAGGATCCAGTCAATGCTTTTTAAATTACAAGGAGTAGTGTCATGACACGAGCATCACTTCCTATAGTCCAGCTGAGATCTTACCCGCCACCCTATCCAACGTTGCAGGCTGTGGGGTTAGTCCTTCAGAGTGGCAGATACAACCAGAGGGAAGAGTGACATTACAGGTGGTGACACGGGAGACATTAATTCAAAGTTAAGTTGGACATTTCAAGGGCCATATCCTCAGCTGGTGTAAATCACCATCACTCTGTTGCCTGCAATGGAGCTGTACCAGCTTACACCACTTGAGGGGCTGGTCCCTCATTCTTGCTCATCCCTTCCACTCCTCGGTCCCGCAGGGATCCCGGGTTGTCGTGTACGGTCAGTGTAATCCTGTGTTCTCTAATACTTAAGCACAATAAGTGAATATAAGAATGAGTGTCAGACTTAACTTTGAATGTCCAAGCTCTGAAATGGTTTGTTTCACCATTGTGGCTGTAAATTAAACAGTTCTCTGTGCATTTGTGAATGCCGTGTCCTATCTTCTTCTGCTGTCTACTGGAGGTGGACTCCCTCTGGACTTGTAATGTGCTGCATTTGGAGTGTTACAGGGAAGGGTGTGAGCAGTTGGAGCCACAAGGTATCTGACTGACAGCTCTGTTATTTGTGGGCTGGGGGGCTAGTAGGGGGCTTAATGGAGCTGAGGATGATAGTTGTCATAAGTCACGCTTCCATGCGATGCTGTAAAACCTTGTTGGTTTTGTCCTTCCACATTGTAGGTAGTGATTTGGGGATAAAATGTTTTTCTGTTTTTCACATTCCGCAGCCACTTCCTCTTTCCAGGGATTCAGAACTTGTTGATCTGATTATATTGTTTTTTTTGAGGTCTTGTCTGAACAGAAAATACATAGAGAGAGGACTGCCCCAAACCAACCTCCGTTGTTAAAATGTGGTGCATGATCACTGATTCTCCAGTCAGTTCATTATGTTTAATTCTGTGCTTCATCTTTCCAGACCTTTCAGTTGCTTTTGTTGAGTGAAATCAAGGATCACGTGCCAGTTTGCTTTCCTTTTTTCCTCTCCTCTGCCCTCCTTGGCATCTGCTTTATTGGACAGTGCACAGTAACTACAGACAGTTGCTCCTCTCCAGCCCTGGAGGTTCCTAGGCAGCTCCACCACTTTGTCTTTGGGCTTAGGCTTTTTAATCTGCTTGGAACAGCATCTGTGGGTCTCCTCCCTCCAATGGGCTTCAGCATTCCAGCTGTGAGGTTCTCTTGCCTGTCCTTCTCAGGTCCATGTTGTCTTTCTGTGGTCTCTTTTCCAGATATTCTCTGCCTGACTTTCCCATCCCTCTGTTTCTGTCTCTCAGAAATTATTTTGCTTTCCTAAGGTGTCTCATCTCTCTTATCTCCTGCCTCACAGAACAGCCTTTGATCTGTTTGTCTCTAGTTCAACTGCTTTATCTGTGTGCCCCAAGATCCTGCATCCCACACCTATAGACCTATAACTGACCCACCCCCACACACATGAAAGACAAATGCTGTTGTATAGATGTGTGTTTGTGGAGAGAAAAAGATTCAGCTTTGCATTTGGAAAAATACCCATTACTGAAGACTCTTTGCTAAAGCTCTGTCCAATCACAGCAACATTGTGACTCTGAAAGAATGGCAGTGAAGCTGTTCCAGAGATCTGACAGTTTAATTAAGATCAGTGGCCTCATTTATGATTTAATTTGAAAGTTTCAAATTTTATTTTGAAGTTTCAAAGCTACCTCAGATTTGCATGCTCACATTTTACTGTAAATTGAAGGAAATCATGTTTGTAGGCCTCTTCCATAGCTTTGAAAATCTTACTGAGAATGCTTATCTGACCCTGTCTTGGGCTGGAAATCATGGTTGTTTTAAAACAGACACCATGTGAGGTTTTCAATGAAGTAATTTTCTTGGTGTTTCTAATACACAGCTTCTGGTACTAGCAGATCTCAGGTGAACTCATAAGAATCCCACTTAAATTTCCTTTAATTTCAAGTAGCAGAGAAAAGCCTATCAGTGCTGCATTCCTCAAAAATCAGCCTATGTTTTGTATTTATTATTCAATTTAATTACTGTCTGCGTTCCCACATTTTAATAGCAAGGCATTATTCCATGTCTGAGCTTTTCTGTGCTGCTCTTTGCTGTAGCATCTCTGCGGCACAGCCTTGAGCTGGTTTGTATTCATATCTCTGAAATAAAGAACTATTGTTGTCCCATTTTAGGCGAGACCGAGGCATGGAGAAAAGACTGTGCAAGGTCATACAGCAAGGCTGTGGCAGAACCAGGGATAGGACTCAGATCTGAGTGCTCATCCAGTGCCCTAAATCACACGACCATCTTCCCTTTCCAAGAGTGAATCCTTGCACCCTTAGAGCTAAATACTGAAAAGATTGAGGGTAAGTCATTTTGCCTAATTACTGTGCATCGGATACATGATCAAAAGCCACTGCTGTATCATCAGAGAACGTAGTGACTGATGAAAATCCATCTTTCTGCCCATGCAATTAAGATGCCTTTTATCCTATCATGAGCTGGTCATTTCCTTCTCAAAGGAGTCAGCCTTTTGTGACTTAGAGTGAAAATTATGCACACAGAACAAGACTCAGATTTTATGGGAATTTACAAAAATTCAGTAGACAATTTTCATTCCTTCCTTTTATGGTGTGGGTAACATTTCCTAGGGGAACTGTTTTTGTCATGGGCCCAATTTTAAATTTTTTTTTTCCCAGACCCTAACGTGGAAAAGCACTTTAGGAGATGCCTCTGTTTGCTCTTGAAACTAAGCATGCTCCTAGCTTTGGACAAACATCCCACTGACTTCAAGCAAATGGAGCAGAGTCGATGCTTTCTTATTTTTTTAAGTAGGGTGTGCCTTCCTGACACAGGATCCCAGTTGTGGGATGGGGGTCTTCATGCTCATAGAGGATTGAAGTATGTTTTAAACAACCTTAAAGTATCCAGACTAGTATATACAACTAGGAAGACAGCTGGGAGAGTTCCACTCTCTTCTGCTCCCATGGAGGCTGCCATTTTGAGCTACATATTTGTTGTTTTGGGGGAAAATACTTTCTTGGCATGGGTGGATTCAGGAGTGCAGTCACTAATGCCAGTGAACCCATTTAAGATTATCTGTTTGGGTACCTCAGAGAATACAATTTGAAAACTCACAGTTGTGCTGATTACAGACAAATCTGAGATGGGAAAAAATTAATGAGAGCAAATTTCATGTGAAATTTGGCAAATTTTAGTTTAGGGAAAAAAATGAATGAGAAGGTAGAACAAACAAGATCAAAAGCTCTATCCTTCTTTTTGCAGTTGTGGCATGTCACCTGTCCCTTTAGTCATTCTAAATATTTACTGCATCAGGCTAAAGTATGTGCTGAAGTAGCTCAGAATCACTACAACATGTAAAAAGTTATGGCTGGTTCTCGTTGAACTGCTGCCTATTATCATGGCATATGACCGTGAGGTGGGGCCTGCAATCACAGTTGTAAATCAAAGAACAAGTCATAGGTTAGGTTCTGTTTTCCTTAGATATTGTCTCTAAGTTTGTTTTCTGTATGTGAGTCTCGAGTGACGTTTGGTGAGCTTTCCAAATAGGTGTAAAGTCACGAATACCTAATTCCCAACCTGAAAGTAAGGAAGTGCCAACTCTTGGTCTTCTTCACAATCAATAGGTGAAATTCTGGCAACTTCTTGGTGGTAGAATTTCTGTCAGTAAAATTTTCAGTGTCACATTTTCCCAGTGTTAACTTCTTCCCTTAGAGGGGAATGCAATCATTATTATATTTGACTCATTAGCAGGCCATCAAATCTGACTTGGTTTGATTGAGTAACTCAGAGTTTCCATTTGGACTGATACCTGTGCATGCTGGTTGTCTTCCAGGAACTTAGACAAAAATACAGAAAGAAAGGCTCATTTGTGTGCTTCAAAAGAAAAGAAATTCACATATGAAGGCTGGAGTGGTCCCTCAAACCAGGAAATAAGGAGCCAAGTTTTATAACAAGTGTTACATGCTCATCTGCAGATCAGACTTGCTGTTTTGGCCTCTATGTACTATCTTTGATCTTGCATAATGAAGGCAAGTGGTTTTACTGTCCATCTTTGAAACTGAGAGTAGCTGATAAGATCAGGGGTGCCAAAAAGCAGAAGCACCCAGTGATGCAGTTGAGCTCTTAGTGCTTGAAATACCCTGGGGATTTTGAAAACTTCCTGATTCTGGAAAGCAATCACAAATAAATAGAAGAAAAGCATTTTAAACACTGCTGAAAATCCCACCCTGGATTATTTGGCAGGTGAAAAAAGAATCCAAAAAAGAAACTACTTATAATGATCATTCAGTGACAAAGCAGATATTCATGGAGAATGCTCATGCTTAAATCTCTCAGCAGTTAATTATCATCTTTACAGACCATAATACTGGAATACTTCACTTATCATCAATACTTCAGGACTTGGATGAACTTTGAGACGCATGAAAATGAGACACTCCTTAGGCTCATGGTAGCTCTGTGTTCTAGTAACTGATCAACCCATTACATAATTGGTCAGATCACTAACTTGCATAAATAGATATAACTCCCTTGACTTCACTGGAGGTGACAGTTACCTGAGAATTGACCCGAAACTCTTGCCACAAAGCAGATAATGGTTTCATATTTTGCTGTTTAGTGTTGTAAAAATAGACTCATTTCCTGGAGCAGTTAAAACAAGAAAATAGGGAAAAGCAATTTCCCACAGAGACTCATCCGCACTGGAATTCACCGAAGTCCCCGGATGTGAACATGTGCTGTTAGAAAACATAAAACAGCAACTTTGTTTAGGGAAGCCTCTGACCTGTCAAAAATGCAGAGCATTTCTAACCAGACTTTTCCTTGGCAATTAGTGGGTAGAATTACTCATAGAAATTGTTTTGTTTGCTCACAAGGGGAAAAGTAAGACATAAATTCAAGATAGCCCCTGTTTGACCACAAGAAAAAAGACTGTTCACAGAGGGCCTGTGGGTGAAGTGCTGAGTGGCTTCAGCTCCCTTTGGGGATGAACTCAAATTTTTTGACCTCAGTGAAGTATGAAGAGCCCCTTCAGACTTACTGGGCATCCCTAGCTGTGATTTTTTTCAGCAGTTTAAGGGATTTGGCATCCAGTGTTAATTCATTTTTTATGCGACTTTCAAGAAACCTTTGTTGCCTTCAGAATGTCTCTGTTCTGAAGAGACTAATTTCGACCCAGTGATGTGACCATGCCTTGCGTCTCTAGGTAGCAGCACCCAAACCTTAGGTTTGTTTTTTTGTTTGGTGTGTTTCCCAGCAGTGACTTTTCCAGTGCCCCATTCACTGCTGGAGCAGCCTGACAGTTCAGGTGGGAAGTTCCCCCCACTCCAGCCACGCATCACCTTTTCCTTAGCACTTGGGCTTTACGTGTGTTTTCTGTATAAAGGTGGTGCTGGTTTAACCTGAAGACCAGGGAAGTTTCAAGTGGCCAGATTTTGTGCTATGGGCCCTGTTCTGCTGCTGCTGAGTCTCTTGCCCAGCTGTGTGGGGCCAGAGAAGGAGGGAGAGATGCTCCAGCACTTGGATGAAGTTGGCTGAGGGCTCTATGCTCACACACTTGGAAGTGAAGGCATTTCTTGGTCCAGACTCACCCACGGTAAAATAATCTGCTCAGAGGTCTCCTTGGAGTCAGGAAGCTACTCAAAAACTTGTTCAAGATCTGAATCCCCCTAGACTGCAATGGGTTTCCACAGCAAAAATGAGAGAAGCAATTTGTCCCAGATAGAGTGGTTCCTTCAACAGGCCATGTAGGAGTTGGACAGGTTAATGGTCAGCTTGTGTACTGTACTGATTGCCCCAAATACTGCTTTTAAATCAAATTTGAACTGTTTTTTCTGGGAGATGTTTCTCATAGATGTGCTTCAGAAGAGCTTGCCTAACAGCTTGTATCCATTTGTTGTGAAGGGCCTGCTGGCCCATCCAAAATGGTCAGCCTATGCCTGCGTGGCTAATAGGGGTTTTGGGACCTTGCAGCTGGGGTTAGCAAGTGCAAATGTTTCCCATTAGCTCCCTGCATACCCTAAGTTGTGATTCATCAAGGGAGACAGTGGAAGGCTGAACTTGAGACATGAGATGTTTCTTTGAAGTTCCTCGTGCTTTAAGTTAGGCATGATCTGATCTGGCTTCCTAAGCTGAGCCCCCAACGAGCCCACTGTGCTAACACTGTATAGTTTAGTCTTTTCCTCCTGTGCATTGACCAGAGTGATGCTGTTTCAGAAGGGTTTGAAACCTTTCAGAAAACCATTCCATAGTAACAAGGGAAAACTTGAACTATTCAGTGGCTTTCTACCAGCAAGCTCAGCTACACTAAAGAGCCCATAGCAGTGCTTGCCCTCTCTGGGCCTCTTAAGGTATTTTCCTTCCTTATTTTCTTTAGCATGTTTCTTTTTTAAGTGAGAAAACTATCTTAAAATGGTACTGTAAAAAGGTGGGAAATTAGGTAGATCATATCATCTTGATTCCTTTATCTCACTTAATTAAGGAGAAGTTTGCCCATAGTGATCTGGTATTTCCTAAAACAAGCATACATGAAGAACACTTTGAGGAACTTCAAAAGAATTTTCAGGCTAGATCAGGAAAAGATAAAACCAGAAGTGGAAACTTCTAATACACTTTATAGCTCATTACTTACAGGAAGTACATTGTTACATAGGATACTAATGAATTCTGCAGGATGAGGTTTCCAAAAGAAAAATAAAATGGCACCTTCTCTATCTCAGAGGAAAGGTCTGAGGGCTTTTGCAATTATGACAGATATGCAGTGGATATGTATGGTCATATCACCTGGATAGAGTCTATCTCTGGGAAAAGGCTATTTAGAGTTTCAAGTGTGTACACTATTGAATTTCTGCAGCAACTTCCTGGTCTACCTGTTAAAAGTGATAAAGGTAATGGTAAAAGTCTATCTTGTTTTCAGCTGCTCTGTTCTACACCCCAGAGAGCAGAAGTGCTGCCCTGTGTATAGCTGGCTGTGAGCAGGGTGGCAGGAACACAAATTTGGGTGACTGAGGATGAACATGTAAAGTTGATGCTGATGTTCCCAATCAGGTAGTGAGGCCAGCAAAATGGAAACAGCAAAATGGATACTCAGATTCTTCCAGTGACACTTGTCTGGGAAATTATTATTTGGCAGAGTCTTAATTAACTGAAAATGAGCAAGTAATTCTAAAATCCTGATTTTGGAATCCCGAACTACTGGATTTACTGTTAGTGAGTTAATTCTGTCAGAGGTGTTGTGGTACAGGAATATTTCACATCTGTAAAGCACACAGAAATCCTAAGGATAACAGGTAACAGTTTTCTACTGTCTGAAGAGTTCCCTGGTGTAAGGAGGCCCCTCGATGGTGCCTCAAGAGCTGAGGGGTTGTGCCCCAGGCTCAGCTCATGGTTTCAAGTCCAGACGTGCTGTCCCCAAGTCAGCAGCACCTGGAGCTGGGTGCACCTCTGTCACATGCAGTTATTGCACACATGCTGGCTACCTTGTGTTCTCCACCACGGGGGATATGTCCACCTGCCAGCTCCTGTATTTCACTCAGATTGTAAGGATAGCTTTGCTTTATGTATGAACATATTTTAGGTGGCAAAGCATTTCCATCAGGACTGAAGCACTTGGGCAGTGAAACTTGAACATTTATTCCCTGTGTACAGGCAGGATATTTAAATATGGGATTAGTTGCTCTTTGTATCTTCAGGGCCCCAGATACTTCTAAACCTGTGGTCACTGGAAGGCTGTCTTGCTGAAAATCCAGAGGCTTTTGCCCTTGTGAAAATTTCTAGTCTTGCTTGAAAGTGAGATTTGGACTCCTGAGTCTCAAAGATGCTTTTGCAAGTGTTGTGTCTGCCTTTCTGCTTTTCTATAAATCAACTTGCTTGGCCTGAACTGAGTGTTTAAATAATAAACAGCTGAAGGACAGTCTGATCACTTCTTTCTGAACGTTTCCCATGGGGAGCACTTGGGGTCACATGGCATCTGCTCTGACCTTAAGGACCTGCTTTCTGGAGGCTTTTTTACGATGCTGACAAACCTCACATTTTAACTAGCTGTTAAATAAGCCAGTCAGTGGTAACTATTCAGGACAGGGATTAGAAGAGTATTCTTGCTAGGATACAGGATGGCTCTGTCCATGTGCTGGACAGGGATGAAGGGCTGGAAAACCGTGTGGTGGAAGGGACTATTAATGTGATTTTCCACAACTTTCCTTGCAGCTGCATTTTTGAGAGGAGAGAGAGAGATGGCTAGGCTTGCAGTAACATGTTGTGCCGTCATAAATGCTACAGCCACCATCTGTTTCCAGCCCACAACTTGAAAGAAAACTGAGCAGTAATCTCATAATTCACATGAGCGTTTTACACTTCTGAACCCTTCCCAACCTTTGTCTAATAATGAGGGGAGTGTGTGGTGCTAAGTTTTATATTTTTTCCTGCACTTATTAGTGTTTATTTGTATGTCTCTTTCTCTTTTGTTGTTTCTGGGGGTTTTTTTCCATAAAAAAAAATTTCACTGGGAGGAAAATCAGACCAGTTCCACGGACAAAAGAAACATAATGAAGGCAAAATCCCAATTCCATTGATCTTGCTGACAGAATTCTCCAGGAGGAGGTGCATTTAATATTCCTCACTGTGTCTGCCTTATTTACTTGTTGATTAAAAGAAAGACAGTAGAAAGTGAAGAGGCAGGTTGCTGAACTGCCCTTTCCCTGCAGAAACAGAGCTGCTGGAATAGCTGGACATGCGCATTTTAAACCCAAACCCTCAGAGAGGATGGTAATGGTAGGTTGGATTTTAATGAAAACAAATTCTTCTGCTAATCTTCGCTTGGGGCTGGCCCTCCACAGGATTAAGGATACCACCTGCTGTGCCAAAGACATGCTCAGGTTCGAGGCTGCTGGTGGGTGGGAAGAACACAAACATCTGAGAGCGACTCTGGTGAGCAATCAGCAATCGCAGTCTGTCCTGTTGTAGTGCCCTCAGGGAAGCCAAAGAGTTGAGATCATTTAGTTGATGGAAATACTGCTCCCCTCCAGCCTGCAAAGCAAGGATAGCATCATTAAGGATTTCTTTTTGGCTGTTCTGCAAAATCAAGGGCTGCTCTTTCTCTAGGCCTCCTCTCGTCCTTGGACCCAGTTTGCACATCTCCTCCAGCCACAGCCGGACCGGCTGAATGAACTCCTGCTCTCCTCTGGCCTTAGGAACAATGGCTTTCATCATCCCCACCAGACTGCAGAGCACTTTAAGGATGAAAGGGCTTCTCATTTCATATATCCTACTGCTGCTAGAACTATAAATCATCAATGGACTGAATTTATAGCCAACTGCTACTGCAAGTGAGTGAAATTTATTTTGTGTTGTCATATGTATGGTCAAACTGTCCAAGAAGTTGCCAAACAAAGAACTGAGCTGCTGATGGGCAACCCACTCAATCTATTCTCATTTTATTTAAAAATAATAAATAGCTATCAATCAAAAGAACTTATTTTGACATGTGCTACCTGTTGAGTGTTCCTCAGTATGTCTGGGATATGTCCATAAATGGAAGAAAACTGCCAGCTGTTACCAGGTCCAGCAGATATTACATGGATTTCCACCAAAAAAAGGTTTGTGGGCTCACTAGGGTTGCGGACAGGTTAAGGGCCATCTCCTTTTTTAGCACAACTTACTGTTCTGAGAGTGTTTGCTCAGGTAGCAGGTGTGCACAGAGGCCACATCCAGCCACACTGACCTCTGCTTGAATCAATGGCAAATCTGCATTGACCTGTATACAGCAGTGGTCCTTCTTCTGTCTCACAGTTTGATGGCAGGTGGATTTTTTGTGGATCTTTGGGGTCTGGAAAGCTGGCCTATGTTTATTTTGGTGCCTTGTGATGGTGACGAGCTAAAAAGGAGATAGTAGAAACTCTTCAAGTTGCAGGGGTCTGAATCATGCATTTCTGTATGATTTTCTTACAGAGCGAACAAGCCTGAAAGGTCATTTTTGTGTTTTACCCAGGCTCATTAATGATAGCTGGGGGTGTTGGGAGCTGCCTTTCCCTGCTTGCTCCTGTTGTCCTGCCCAATTCAATCCCTGCAGCCTCCCACCCCCTTTATGGCCACATCTGGAGTGTCTCCCTGCACACGTGCTGGTAGGAGCCTCCACCCTGCCAGCACACACATTGTGGCTTTTTGGTGTCCGTGGAGTTCTAGGCATCTTTCCCCACACTTGTTTTTGCGTGAGAGGGAAAGAGAGAAGGGGCACGGGAAGGGCAGTGGCAGAGAAGGCCTCTGACATGGAATTCCCAGGAACAGGATTTGCACATTTTATGACCGTTCAGATGGAAATGCAACGGAGCTGAATTATTCCTCCTTAATCCTGCTTTCTCACTTTCCTCCCAGCAGCCTCTTCCCCTCCAGTTTAGGTAATACAGAAGCTTATAAACAAATCCCCCCGCGTGAAAAATAGCAAAGCCGGGGGAAAAAAAGGACCTGGGTTAGGGCTGTGATGGATAGACAGGTGGAAGGCAGGCACCAGAAGGGAGGATGAATGGTAAAAGCCTTTGATGGAAACACTAAAGAGCTATTGAAAATCCAAGGGGTAGGGGGAGGGAGGAGAAAGAATAGCAGGAGGAGGGAAAGCAAGGCAGCCGTGCCCCCGTCCCCCCGCCCTCTTTCTCAGGATGTTGAAAGTATTTGTCCTTCGTTACAAAATGATTGAACTGCCGCCAGGCCAGGCCACCCTTCCAGCCATTGCACTGGGAAACTGGCACTTCTGAAAGCCTCGTCGCCTCTCAAATTTTATAGCTTTCCCTTTTTGTGGGAGTTTTTGTGTTGTGCTGTTTGCAGGATTGTTTTCAGATTTGCCGCATATCAAAGAAACTATATTTTGTTGCTCTGACGAACACAGAATCCAGGTAATGAAAAGAAGAATTTAAAAAATAAAGGCCCATTTTTTTATCAGAATACCCAGCTGTCTGCCTTTCATTGAGTCAGAATTTCATACATTTGGTATTCACTCTGTGAATTTGGTTTACCTCTAGTGCTTTTTGAAGGAGGAATTTCATGCTGTAAGTAAAGCTTCTACTTTACTAATGTCTCTATTTGCACAAAAGTGATGCCTATTCTTCATAGTCAGAGTAGTGAGTATGATCTTGTTGTATCATAATTAAAATAGTTTTTGCATCAGGTACACGTAGACAACAGTGGAAAAAAATAACCATTTCCATTTTCAGAATGATCCCTGAAGTTCTACAATGTCTTTATCCTGCAGGATCTACAGATGGGAATAACTATTGAAGATCTGCGTACGAGACTGTTCCTGCTGCCAGAGGCTGTATTTTTATCATGTATTTATATGTGTATGTATTTATATAAGCCTGATGCTTGGAAAGGACTTCAGCCATGTGTTTTCTCAAGAATTAGATTTGGGTGTCTGTAGACGCAGCCTCCACCCAGGCTCTTGTTAAACAGGGGAGGACCCAGGGCCATGGTGTGTCCCTGAAGACAGTCACAGGCCATCCCTGTCGGAGAGGAGCTTGTGGTGCCCTGGCCAGGTGGATGATCAGGGCTGTCCCTGGGCAGGTGCCCACTCTGCATGTGGGGTGGGTGCATCGCCCCCACTGCAGCCCCAAGGGTGCTTCTCCGAGTACACTGTGCAGACAGTCAGCTGTCTGTTGCCTCCAAGATTAGATCCTGGGATTAGGTCTCTGATGGGCTGGCTGTGACATATAATTAAAATAGTCCTAGAAGAGCAGAGAGGCAATGTGCCACCCATACACAGCTGAATACTAGGGGGCTGTGCTTCCTCACAGACCCGCCGCTGAAAACAAATCTATCCACTACCATAATTTACAATAGCAATTTCCACCTAAACATCTCCAGTGCCTGGTTATGTTTGTTATTGTTTGCAGAGAGAGAGGTAACACTGCCTTTATCCCCACTTCCAAAAGAGGAGAAAGGGTAAGTGGTTCGCTCAAGGTTAGATGGGGAGTCAGTGGAGATGGTGCTCCAGTTTCCTGCCTTCAAAGGAATTTGCTGCAGTGACCAAAGCAAACAGTCCCTGCTGTTACCACGCCGGACTGTGGCGTGTCATTTGCACTTTGTATCTGAGATGCTGTGTCTGGGTAGGTATCACTGTCCTCGTGAACTAACTCTTAGTTCTGGAGCGTGGGTGAACACTTGTCATCATGCCAGGATGACACAAAGTCTAGAAATTATGATGGCAATTCAGGTCATGGGATAACGGGGGAAAAACGCTGTCTCAGAAGTGTCCCTGTCTGGTGTCACCGCTGGCAATTATTTAAGCTGCAGGACATGGCTGTGGCAAAGATCAGGTTGTAGCTGATATGAATCATGCCTTGCAATAACACTTTCCTTCTTACATTGTGAAAATTACAGCGGTATGGGAAGTGAGGGAAAATGGGATTTCCCTGGAGGTTAAAGATTTTCCTTTAATCAGCTTTCATAATGTTAATTAAACGTTTGGAACAATGGTTCAGTCCCGGGATCCGCCTGCTCTTGCATAACCATCTCACAATACCGTTTTCACTTTCATGTTTATTTGCCAGCATGATTCAAAGTGAGAGCTGAGCAAGATCGCCGCACCAAGGAGCTATTTGGGATTTGGGAAAACTCACCTCCCTCTCTTCCCTCACCTAGAGAGAGAAGACCCCGACTCTGCCCTCCCAAGGAGGAGCAGCCCAGAGGGATCAGAGCACTTTGTCTGTCATCATCACCCCATCTGCAAAGGGGGCTAATAAAAACTTACTGGTATTTTGAGGCTGGTACATATAAATATATACCCACCCATATGGAGAAAAGGGTGTGTTTATAGAGATCAGTACATGGATAGATCTATTCCGGGTAGGTAAGATAGATTACAGTGCCACTTGTTCCCTGAATTTTTCACTCTCTCTGTAGCGTAGTTGCTATGTGCCCATGGGACCCATCGTCTCTGGTCCTTTGAGCGGTGGGCTTAATATAACCCAGTCTCATATCACACACACATGGAGCATTCTGGGGAAGATAAAATTTGGGGAATGATTCACAGGCAGGGGATGACACTGATTACCCCAGGGACCACACACCATGGGAATGGGAGTTGTGCCGGGCATGTTTCCTGGGCCTCTTGGTGCCAGACTGGGACGTCTTTCCTGGTGGTCTGAGATGTGTCAGTGTGTCCCAGAGCTGGTCTAGCGACGTGCTTGGAGCTCCCACCAGCCACACACGTGCAGGGGGTGCACATGCATCCAGAGGCACAGCCTGGCCACTTTGTTCTTCAAGTTAGAGAAGACCTTTTTCAAAAATAAGGTATTAAAACATACAAATGTCAGACACTATCAGAAAAGAAAAAATGAACCTTTTATATTTTAGGTCAAAGTGTTATCTAGCTCAAGATTTCTAAATATGTGCAAAATGCAGTTTCTGCAGAAGGACCATTAATCAGTCGCTGGAAGAACTGCCTTTTTTTAAGCTGCAAAGATGAAAACAGAATGCAGTGAGTGCCGGGGCAGCTCCATTTTCCCATTGTGCGGATGGCGGGTCTTGGAGCAGGAGGGCACCTTTATCCATGAGGGCTCCTGCTTCCCTAGCAACGTGTTAACATCTCTGCAAAAGCTGTTTAAATACACTGAGCCGCTTGCCATGCAAGCTCTACATGGCAGTTTCCCTGTTGACACACGCTTTTGTCTGCTCAGAGGAGGTGCTCTGTAAACACCAGCGTTAGACAGTTTTTATGTTACTTATTTCTGATTCATTGGTTCTAAATTAGTAGCTCGGAGGCACATACCTTTTGTACAGGCAGGGGAAGGGATTGCCTCTTCTCCCCACCTTTGGAAACTTTGACCTGCTAAGATCACAAACTGTAGGAAATCTCAGAGGCGAAGTCCCAGGTATCACCAGCAGTAAAAGCTCGGAGTAAACAGATTAGGTGTGTTTGAAAAACGCTTTAAGGGAGCTTGGACTATCTGGCTCAGTTTCCATATACCACAAGCAAGATTAATTTCAAGGCTGATTTTGATGGCATGAAGCCTTCCTCCTTAATATAGAAATTGGCTGTGTAATTTATATATATATATATATATTTATCTTTTTTCCTGTTTGGCAGTGCAGGACACGAGGAATCGAAACTTCTTCTCCACACCCCTTTGATTAGCACAGGAGTGGCAGGAGGAATTTTTTTTCTCTTAGTCATTCTGGGCAACCTTTGAGCCCAGCTTTTCCACCCTGTTCCCATTAGGAAGCGGCAGAGGCCACGCGAGTGAGTCCCTGGCCAGCTGGGAGCCGTCAGCTGCCTTCAAAGCCTTGGCCAGCCCTTCTGTGATAAATCTGTGGCAAGGTGTGTATGGTATCAGCCCCGTACCCCACACAGTTCCTGTCTCAACTGTGAAGAAATTTTAAAAAAAATTAAGAGTACAAAAGGGGTAAACCTATTTCTTGAACTTATAAGTCATTTTATGGAGCAGTCAAGGGTGTTAAGGTTGGGTCTTACTCATGTTCAACCGAGGGCTGCTGGCTGTAGGTTTTATCACCCTTTCACAGGAGTGGGGTGGCAAAACCCTGAAAGCTGAGCTGGTCCCTCCCGAATCCTCCCTTGCAGATGGCAAAGGACATTGTTAATCTACACAAAAAAGAAATGCAGAATCCTGTCTATATATTTTGGGCTGAGAAAAATGAAAATTTTGTTGTCAGTCTGGCTTGGCATCACCTTTCCAATTCTCTTTTGTTTGGTCTCTCTGTGATTCATCTCTCCATTTCACTTCTCTTTTGTTTGCTCCATAATTGCTGGCTTAACCTGGAGGCATGAGGCTTCCTTGTGGAAACATCACCAGGCTGTCAGTCAGCCACGGAGAGGTGGTACAGCTGGTACAGTCCATCCTCCCTCTCAGGAGTGAGTGAATCATCCCTTGAATATGCAATATCATCCAGGACAGGAGCCAGGATTCTCAACAGGCACATGAATTCCAGCATCTCTGGAAACATTATTTCCACATTTTGGGCAGACTAAGAGACAGTAAGTAAATAAGCAAGCTGTGGCATTTACAATCGCTGTAGTTTTATTTAAAGTGACTGCCTGTGCTCTAAATGCTTGTGTGGGTATTAAAAATACAAAGAGAAAAGCTTGTATCCTTGATCTGATACTGCCCAAGGCAGCTTCACAGCATGGCCCATTTAATGCCATTGAGCAGTCCATTGAACAGTTAAGAACCCACCAGAAACAGTAACTGCCTGCTTTGCTCCTGAAAACTCACATGAACTGACACATCCCAAACCCTCTCTGTTGCTGGCCTCTGGATTTCTCCTTTGAAACAGTGTCTGTGCTGGCTCTTGGTCCTGCATGGAGTTGTTGCCCATCACCCTCGGACAGAAGCAGCGAAGGGCACACAGGCTCCTTCCCTCAGCTGGGATCTTGTTCAAAGGTGTCTCCTCTCCAAGGAAAAGGCCAATTTCCCGTGATTGCACCTGGGCTGTGGGTGGAATGTATCTGGAGAATCAGGGAATATTCACTGCATCATCAGGTAGCCCATGACACAGCATTTTACATCAACTGGTTTTCCTGAGCTCTCGTGTGCTCTGCTCATGAATTCAATAAAGCTGCCCCAGAATGAATATACAATTAGATTTCACTGCTGAATGTGTGAGAGAGATACAATGGGAAAGGAACACTGCTCTGACTGAGCTGGAAAATACTGGTCAGAAGGGCTATGATATGGTTTTCCCTAGTCTGTTAGTATTACCAATAGCTAAGACTTTTTCTGCTTTGCTTTTGTGACAAGGTTATAGTTATGTGTTAACCTTCATCAGTCCTTCCGACGATAACAGTGAAAGCAAAGTACCATTAAAATTATCTTCCTATATATTTAAACCACTCTGGCACTTTTCCAGGCAGTATTTGTGCCCCTGTTTATGCCGCAGACCCTGGTGACCCTGGAATACTTTTATTTACGACAGCATAAGCATCATTT